GGGGGGGTTGGGGTTGTGGCCTTCTTGCCCGAAAAATTTCAAAATGCCCAAATACGTGAGTGTTGAACTTAAGATATAAACGCACTCGAATTTCAGGAAAAATAGTAGCGTTCACAATTCTCACGTCTAATTAAACTGCTCTTATACCAAACAAATAGCTAGTTTGAAACCTCGCATACTCTACGATCTCAAGCAACAGGCTAGTAAAAACAGAATCTGCGCTTGTTTTGACTTCACTTTTTGTCCTGTTATCGTGTAGCTGAGAAAGGCTCGAAAGACAAAGGTACTGGACAGAATCTTTCTTGATAAAAGAAAACGTTATTTCTTGCTGAACGAAAATTTCAAGAGGAAATTAACAAAAGGCGGTTTGTGGAGCCGTTCTAAACGGTTCCGCAGTTTCAACCACCCAGACCACACACACACAAAAAGTCAGCTTCGCTCGCTTTGATTTTTTTGCTGGAAGTTGGGAATAGAAATAATATTCATATCGTGACAGTTTCCACGATACATATTTCAGTAACTGGATTTTGCAAAACAGAATACCTAAATTCTTCAAATCATTTGACTTTAAGTCCGTTTTGGCAAGAAAAACATTTAACGTTAGAGAGAGTAGCCTACAAGCCTTGAAACCTTTCGGAATGTTTTCGGCCAAATTTACTGTTTTCTCAACCATAAGCGTTTTGCCCAAGAGTTTTAAAAATCTTCATTACTAGGGGATCTGCAGCCTGATTCTTTCGTTAAACTACCCTCTCTCCCTCCTTGTTAGTCGTACGTTTTTACAAATGGATGAATGTGGCCAAGTGCCTTTTCGTTCGATTTTCTTATAATCGGCTTTCCGAACTAAATTTTTGTGGCAAATTTTGTATTTGTTCCGAAGTGCCACCAACCCCCCAAATTTTTTTTCGCTAAAATAAATTTCTTTTTTTCTCCTGATCACCGCTGCGAAAAATAATCGTTGTAGCTATTTTCGTTATTTTCTTATGAATTTTGAAAGTTTGTTAAATTGCCCTATTCCATGTTCACGGCCGAGGAATTGCGAGAATGGGACGAGTTGGCTTCTGACGTCATTTCGGGAATAACAATATTTTGTTTCTGAAAATAATATATGCGAGCGTGCGATAGTGTGTGTCAAAATCGTTGCAGAATGCAAGGAAGATGTGTCGTTGGAGGCTGTAGCAATGCCGGATGCGTAGGGTAGGGTATTCCTCAACATTCGATGCCTCTATCTCGATGAAACTCGACCAGAAACGAGAAAAAGACCAAAGGAGTGGGCTGATCTGTGCGAAGCTAAAGCCGGGGAATCTAAAAATGTTTTGACACTCCGAAATCTGCACGTTCTGTCAAGTCAAATTACAAACTCTTCTTGTTCATTGACATTTTTGTAACTCTTAAGTTAACTCTTCGGCCATTATTTGTACCTTTATAACCCAAATGGACCGGCAAATTGTCGATCCTGATCCTGGGCTAAATTTCAACGCGGCGCTCTCGACTGGCGACCCGCACTTCGAAATGAAAAAAAATATATATATACATCGCAACCTTCCAAATCCTGGCTAGACTCCGAATTGTATTGCTAGATGATATTTTGAATCACAAATAACCCAAAAATGTTTTGACAGCCCTCGAAGCTCAGACAAAAGTCTCTTCAGTGTTTTTAGCCTGGTTCCCGTAGTGACGTCACTAGTAGCCCGACCCAGATCCCACCTTTGCGCGGTTGTGAACATTAAAGTTACAGGATCAAACGCCTGTAGAAACGCAGGGCTTTTATCAATCGAGATAATTTTTTCGCTGAAGGAATCAGAGAAACTAGTAGATTGGAAAAATAAATTGGGGTTAGTTGGCACTTTTTTGCGCTTTATATTCCCCGCAAAGTTTGGCGAAAAAGTATTTTCAAACGTAACAATCAGTTTCAATAATAATTATCATAATTCTTTTGTTACACAAGGTTTCCATTCAACAATTATCCATATTTGGAGCTCAAAGTCAGGCGGGAAGATAGCAGCTTTTGATTGGTTATTACTCCGAGTGTAGTCTCTGATTGGCCAATTCACTTTCAAATTGACGTGCTCAATTTTGGCGCTTTTCAGTTGTGGTTTTGTTGGCGCGTCTTAAATTTACGAAGAGTCGAGATGGTAAGTCGTAGAGATTTTGCATCCGTTTCCATCCGCTTTTTGGGCGACGCTTTCAGTCTATTTTATTTCAAAGAATGTGCATCCTTTCTTTAACTGTTGATTGACGATACATTTGAGCTAAAACCATGGCGTACGTTTCATATTTTTCACGCGAAGTTTCACTGTTTGGTTTTGCAGGCAGGAGGAAAAGCTGGCAAAGATTCCAAGGCAAAGGCTAAAGCCGTTTCGCGTTCAGCAAGGGCTGGACTTCAGGTAGGTCGGCGTTTGAAAATCGCGAATCGTTACTCAATTTTGCAAAGGTCTTCTTTATTCGTTTTTGCTGTATATCTTACGTGTGTCGCCTTTACAGTTCCCAGTGGGTCGTATTCACAGACATTTGAAGAACCGAACGACAAGTCATGGCCGCGTCGGAGCTACAGCCGCTGTTTACAGCGCAGCTATCCTCGAATATTTAACTGCTGAGGTAAGCAATTAAACACCATTTTCGAGGTAACAGATTCATTTAGTAAACTGAACACAGAAAGCTGTTTACGTTGACAGGCAAATTCAGAAATTCGTAGCGCTTCGTTACTCATATGGGCGTTTGAATGTTTGTGAATATTGAAATCATTTAAAATATGCAACTGTGTTATACCATTTCTCCGTTGCTCTTTACCCGTTAATTCACCACATTTGTGAAAATCTAATGTACATCTTTATTCCTGCAATCAAATCATGAAAATTTGATCAGAAATTCGTTGAAAAATAGTCTAACTAATCGTTGTTACGCTAGTAACGACAGTTCCCGCCATATTTGAAATCTTCAATGGCGTCCTTTTCTTGTGACCGCCTTTGAATGATAATTTTAACTTTGATCTCATGATTTCAAGTGCCTTTTCACTTTTCAGTTGGCCATAATCAAGTTCTGAACTAAACTTTTGTCGTTCAGCAACGAATTTGAGCCATTTTGTAATTTCTTTGGTTGATGTTTGGTTTAGTTCGTTCGTGATGTTTTCTTTGTGACAAAACATTGATTTGTGGGTGGATTCTTACCTGTTAAACTTTGGTTTTTCGCCTAAACGAGTTGTTTAAACTCTTACTTGTGCTTTAGGTTCTAGAGTTGGCTGGAAATGCCTCCAAAGATTTAAAAGTAAAGCGTATAACACCACGCCATTTACAACTCGCCATTCGAGGTGACGAGGAACTCGACTCGCTAATCAAAGCAACCATCGCTGGTGGAGGTGAGTTCACATCATTATTTCTTTTGTTTCTTATCGTCCATTCTAGAACTTCGACGGTGTGGTGGCAAATTTTACTGCAAAAGGGGTTCCATTGTTGAACAGTGTATCTCTCATTGTTAAACTGCTTTCAGGGCTATTATGTTTGGAAGTGGTAAAATAATTTCTTGCGATAGTAGCGTTTCAGTTAAAATGCTAAAACAGGCTATGTTTGGTTTTGGCAATTGACAAGGCTTCAGATTACAGATTATTTCCTACTTGTACTACAGTAATAACATTTTACATGGGAAAAATTGTTATTGTTCCCCTGTGACAATGGCTACCTTGGTTAATAATATTAATAATAATTATAATTTAAAAAATGCATCAGATTTTGAAAGGACAGTTTATTGAAAGATTTTAGTAACCGTCAGATTCAGTAACAGTTCACGAGTAATGCTGATGAGTTAGGAGTCAAAAGTGTTGTACACCAAACCAAGGGGTGAAGGTGATGGTACACAATATTTTTGTATTCCCAGTGTGTTTGGCACCAGTGAAAATATTGGTTCAGTTTTTTTGGTTAGAATTTACAAAGCAAACCCTGCAATCTAATACTTTTGCCTTGTTCACAGGTGTTATCCCTCACATTCACAAGAGTTTAATCGGCAAGAAAGGAGCCAACAAGCCAACATAAGCTAAATTTCTAAGTTTCTTTTTACTTTATATTCTCTGTACAGTTTCATTGGGACTTCCAAAACGTTTTTGCTTACACACTTTGTTGAAAAGTAAAGTTCTGTCTTTTGTTGCGGCTATTTCGCCAGTAAAACCCGTTATGTTATCGCTGTATTTATACATTAAATGTACAATTATTATCGTGTAATCTTATCATGTGTTTGAATAAAATGATCACTATTCACTTTTTAACTTGTGTTGCTTGTGTCTGAAAATTTTAGAATGATGTGAATTACGGAAGTTTTGCATTGAATTTTGTGATTGTTTTCTGCTTTGTTATCATAGTAATATCGCTGCTATATATCCCAAGTGTCTAGGAAACGACAAACTTTTTCCTAGTGTAAAATTTCCCTCCTTTCTTGATTATGTGTTTATTACTCTGGGATATAGTTTGCTGCTGGCTACCATCGTATTTCACAGGCTGAAATAGAAATTAGCACACAAAAGCAAAGGCTTTGGTAAGCTTTTTGGGTGCTACAAATGCCAGAAAAGCTAGCTGGGCTTGTGAATGAGCAGAGCTGGCTTAGTGTTTTCTAAGGCATCTCTGATTACTGTAGTTTTGACCTTGTTTTGTTCAGTTTTATATTGTTCAGAAAGGATGACCCTTGTTAGTTTTTCATTTATCAGCAACATCACTTTTGGATTTGCTAGCCTTACTGTTCCCCCTTTTTAAAAGGTGACTATCTCTACTGTATGTGTTTATGCTCTAGTTCTTTGCTTTTGAACTCCCTCTAATAAGGGAGGATGCCTTGATATTGTTGGAGTTGTAACTGCCTGTTGTCTGGCTGGATTTTTAATGAAATAAGAAATAAAGCAGGATATTTATTCTGTTGATTACAGTGATTTGTGAGTTTCAGTTGCATATTCTTAGGACTGGATGTAACTTGTCCTTAGCTGATCATTTTTCAGTGATGAATGGAGCAGTTTTAACTGGAAAAGATGATAACCTCACTAGGTGACCCAAATTTTTCTGAAATTTCTAGTGCAAATTCTGTCTTTGTTTTTTCTTGCAGGAAAGACCAATTTTGGTATATGAAAATTCAGCCTAAAACAATAGACCTCAGTGTGACGCTACAGGAAAAACTACAGAGTTTGCTGGGTTTATTCCCCGGAACCTCTTGCTGAGGTCTATTGTGTTTGGCTGAATTTTAATATATCAAAATTGCTCTATTTGTGCGGTATTCAGTTTGGAAATTCACCGACTCCTGAACTTTTCTAGAAACTTTCCCACAAAATTTGTGTCCCATTTTTCCCCATACTGAAAATTTCCAGAAGTTGGTTGAATAGAAAGCACCCATTTCTTGAAAAACTAGGTCTAGATCTAAAATCACATGTTTTCATATTTATTTTATTGGATGTGACTGCTTGTTTACAGAACGTAATGTAAACACTTAAGAAGATGAAGATTTTGCAAGTACCACATTTTCCTCAGTAATAGCCACCTCCCCTCCCAAAACATCAGGACCTTGCTGTCATGGAAACCAGTTCAAAAGCCTCATACTCATGTCCCCCTCTCTCAAAATATTGGTTTCCACTCCCCTTGATAGATTGTCTTCGTGTGGATGTGGAGATGGGTAAATAGGAGCAAAACTGGGGGCCAGTCCTTTGAATTGATGAATTGTGAGATGGTCTCAGGGTTAAAATGGACTCTCTTTAGACGTTCTATGACTCGGCCATGAGATCTTTTTTTTAAGCAAAAGCATGTGAAACTGATTTTTTTCCTTTCATGGCTGAACAGCCCCAGCAGGAACGCGCGTGCAGATTCCTCGCGTGTGCCCTAGCACGCGACAGAAGGGGGTAGGTTGTTACACCTGTTTCGGCACCAAAGACAATAGTTCATGGTAATAATTCTCTCTGTTTTCATTTAACAATAGGACAGCTTTAGCCCTCGATTTAACTCTAAGCCCTTGCGACGCAATACGAACCATAGATCGCTACATTCATGTCCCTCGTATGGAGCCACAAATTGCTGTGCGCATACTGTGACCTTCGATAAACACTTTTGTGACATCTTTCACAAATTCTCAGGCGCCTTCGTAGATGTGAAAATTTTCATGCAATAATTGTTTTGCCGAAGCGATGTTAATTTTTGATTAGTTTTGCACCCTAATCAAGGAGGGTTATCTCGACGGCTTAATTTGAAGCGTTGTTTTAGTTTTGCTTCAAGTTTGTTTTCGTAACTTTATACTGGCCTGTTTTGAAGTATGATATAAAAATAAGTCAATGATAAAAATAGAGAGGCAAATTTTTTTGATAGCGTTAAGCTATTTCATCATTGCTTTCCACATTATCTCGGTTATGGAATTCAGTTCCTTTATCAACAGAAAATATTGCCCGCGGAGAATATTCACAGCCTGTGTAAATATATTCACCCGAAACAACAGAGTTGCTAAGCATATGTAATTGGTCTACACATCTGGAGTTTACACAATGAGAATTGAACAGAAAAATCACTATAAAAAATTGCTATTATTTTAATCTCCTTATTCAAAGCGGCAAGGATAAAACGTATTTCCCCTGACTATCGTTTTATGAAAATATTGTAGAAGTATACTGCGGGATTTATGGTTTATTTTTTCCAAAGGTTTTAAGTTGTGACATTCAATAAGACTATCGCGGTTGTGATCAGAAGTTACATTCTCCTAACATTTTGATCGTTTCTAGTTAAACTTGGAATACTAACATTTGTAGTCTGCGTTGAAAGCTTTAATAGAGAAAGACGTCAATGATGCCTCCGCAGAAAATTAAATGGCTAATTCTACAAACGAAAAACTATGTCTAGCACTTGTACCAGGGCGGAATTATCCGTGAACTGCGACCAAGATTGCTTGGTCGCGAAAGATGACAGAAGATGGTGGTATTTTATCGCCACGAGCGCTGTTTTATTCTTCGGCGGTTTGTTCATCATCTTAGCTTCAAGGTTGACAATTAGGGTGTGCAAGTCCAAACGCGCTAAACTAAACCCGTCGAGAAAAGACGCCAATAGGCAGAGGATTAATCATGGTTCGCCTGCTTTGGCAGAAGTTTCGGAACGAGGTGTTTACGTCAGGCTGAAAGAACAAGCTGGCACACTTATAACAGCCCAAACGTTCAAGGGTCGTTGCTTGGTAAGTAATGTATTTATTTAGCCGGCACAGGAAGTAGCTAAAAAAAGCCTGTTTTGTTAACAGGAAGCATCGATATCACCCCTGTAAAGGGAAAAAGGCGAATATTTATTTATTTCGAACCTCTGTGTGTCTTGTATGTTGTTATGTCCATTGACCCAACAACCGTGTGATATCAATTTGTTTGTATTGAAATTGGCATCGATAGGAATCAAGCACCGGTTGATATTGAGCATCTTGCGTTTTGACTCCGATACCAGCGATCTCCGTTTCTTTACGTCCTTAAATGGTATTTTCCGCCAAATTAACGAGTAAAACCTACAATGGTAAGTGAATGGCTATCGTCTCGAAATTTAAATGGCTGTATCACAATATATTGAGGACTAATAACGTGTGCATTGGGGCGTGCAGAGTGTTGGAGTTGAAAGGAACCACTAACATCGCAACTAGAGTACCGAGCGTTTCTATTTTCATTACCTCTGTTCTTAACTACAAAGGCTTTTTGTTTTGGAATCTTCACGTTTAATTAGTGATATTGCAACTTCTTTGGAAGGAATTCTTAGACGATTGAAAAGTGTCGCGTGACAATTGACAAGTGAAGAAATCGGCCCATTCGCAGGTACATGTCAAAACAAACAAGCTTGTCTGATTAATCATTCGACAACCTAGCTACCAGGAACCTCGATTCTCACTACGAACGATTTTTGAAAGCAGGTTTTAAATATGTTTATTTCTGTAAATATCACAAGTCTTGAAAAGTACCAACAAGATATTAACAAAAAAAAAAAAGTTATAACGTATGAAAACAATTTAATGTTTTGATATCAGATGGAGTGAAATTTGAATTTTTGTTCTAAAATTTGCCTCCTGCTAAGATTCTTGATTTGATCTTTAACATATAACATAATTGCTATTTGTCTCCTTTATTTGTAATTCTTTTTTTTTTCTTTTTTTTTGCTAGTGTATTTCACTGGAAGTCTCTTAAATTTAAATTTCTCCAATTTTCCTAAAACTAAAATTGTATAATATTAACTAGTAATACTGTGACTTCAAGAATACTTCTACCCCCGTCTAATTAATCATCTATTTTAAATGCGGAAGAACAATTATTGTGTCACTACTGATTGAGAAAAGGAATAACTCTGAAAATAGTAATTTACACATGTATTGTTTTAGTTGTTCGGACAGAACATTATTTTAATCTTTGCCAGACCAACAAAAATTATCACTCTGAGAGAGATAATTGTTTTTGCCGGTTAGGGTTTCAGTTATTTTGATAGCATAGTTTTGCATGATTACAGACTTATGAAAATTATTATACTGACCTTGGTAGGTGTTTAGTTCAAGGGTTTTAGATGTTCTGATTAAGAACAATGATGGATGATTGCTCAGCGATAGAAATATTTATTTATATCTGAGAGTAGTATGTTATTGTATTAGCTCGACTGAATTTGTTTGACTACTGACTTGCAAAACTTATTATTGCAAGAGCGATAATTTCTAATGTTTTGGCTGATAATTTAGGAATTTAATTTAAAAAAATCGGCATAGCTGCGAAAACAAGTCTATAAATTTTCAGTTTGGTCAAATTTGGTATGAAAACTGTTGTAACAGGTGTGCACTGTGTCTTCGCACAAAGGTCGCCTTGACAACTGTGTCTCGTGACGGGCATGTTGCAAGGGGATATTTTTCTCAAAACGTTTGTTGACACTTGACCTGCTTGAAAAAACAGACAGTATTAAAGCCTTTAGACTTAAGTTAACAAGGGCAAGAAATATGACATTACAACCAAGCTAGAACATGCAAAAGTAATCCCAGTTTACTTTTGTTTGGAAGGAAATGTAAATCAAACAACTTTTTTGAAAGATGCATTTAAAAGACTTATTATATTTACAGAT